TCTTTCTTACCAGTCAATGAATTAATTGCTATTAATACCAGTCATTTGTCACATCCAGTGGAATTTGAAGAAAAGAATTTTGTCAAGTATGTTTACAATATTGAGAATAGTTGCAAGTCAAGAAATGGTCAATATAATTTAGCTTTCTGATATGTAGGAAAAATGACCAAAATATTTATATTTTTAAAAAGGACATTATAGCCCTAACCGGTTTGGCTCAGTGGATAGAGCGTCGGCCTGCGGATGCAAGGGTTCCAGGTTCGATTCCAGTCAAGGGCATGTACCTTGGTTGTGGGCACATCCCCAGTAGGGAGTGTGCAGGAGGCAGCTGATCGATGTTTCTCTCTCATCCATGTTTCTAACTCTCTATCCCTCTCCCTTCCTCTCTGAAGAAAATCAATAAAATATATTTTAAAAAAAGAACATTATATAATTCATTAAGCTTCATTACAGTAACATAAAAGATTACTTGAAGGGAGCACTACATGCATAAGTTACATTTTGTAAGGAGTATATTTTTATGGTGTATCTGAATTTTCAATGACAAAATCAATATACCTGATATACGTCCGAACCTGACATCCTCGAAACCAGCTCTGGATTTTACCTGCTGCCTCATTCTCTTTTTTTCTAAATGCGTCCACAACACTTAAAAAAAAAAAAAAAAAAAGAAACTTTTCATTAGTGACAAATATGACTCTAAAGCAAGCCAATCAGTTAAAATTAATATTTAATTTCTTCCAAAATGGTCATGATCGTTCAAACGTCATTTTAAATAAAATTTTAAAAAAGGGGGCGGGGCATCTGTAATATTTTCAACAATAAAGATAAATTTAAAAAAAAACTAAATAGGAAAAAAGCATTTCAGAAATCAAGAGCTACGTTTAGAAAAATGAACCTTTCTCTGAGGGGCCATGTGCTTTCAACAGGTTTACTTTTTAAACATTTTTTATGATCACTTACTTTGCAACTAACTAATTTGCAACTGATGTTATAAGAAAATAAAGAAACGGTGTTGTAGTTTTTATTTTATTTTTTTTTAAACCTATCACGCAGGATTAAAATGTCTGCATATTGCAGTCAACGCACCAGTTACATGAATCGCCTCTAAGTAAAATAAATCTATCACAGAATGCCAATTCTAGATAGAATTCTCAGAAAGTCCATTTCAGTTAAAGGAAGCAGGGGAGAGGGCCATGGGGATTATAAAGAGATAAAGAGATACAAAATGCAGTCATCAGATCTATTAACTTACAGCCCGAAGAGGTTCAACAAAGACACACTTCCATCTGCATTTTAGCGATCATTACCATTCCCCCCTCCCCCCTCCATTTGATGCAGTGATATTGCTGAGGGCAACTACTGTGGGCTACAGAGGGATTTCCCTCCCAGAATGCTGCTGGGCACATAATTAGCACTTTATGTTTGCTGAGTGAATGAAGAATGGCCAGTCATTTATTTCTTGATTTTAAAAGCAATTCCCTCAGAATTATGTTTTTTGGAGAGAGGTTACTTTTTTGTTGTCATTATAGGTTATGTTAAATATATAGACTTCGTTACGTTTATTCATCATAATTAGAAGAAAAACAGAATAGAAAGTAAAAAGACATGAAACAATAAAAATTCTTAGACAATACTATGATGTTGGCTGACAGAAAGAAAAATAGGATGAGCTGTTAAGCTGTCAGTGACAAATAGTTGGAGAAACAAGGAGGTGGATGAGAGTTCTAGGTAAGCAGGAGAGTTACCCAGAAAGTCTGACTGAAAAGGACCCACAAAAGCAGAGGGAGGGGCCAGAATTTGCATCAAAGGCAGTGATCCAGATGTGCAAGAGTGCAGCCCGCCGGTGTGGCTCAGTGGTAGACCATGAACCTATTCATCAGGTCACGGTTCGATTCCTGGGCAGAACACATACCTGGGTTGTGGGCTCCATCCCCAGTGCAGGGCCTGCAGAAGGCAGCCATGTTTCTGTCTCATTGATGCTTCTATCTCCTCCCTCCCCTCTTCTTCCCTCCCCTCCTCTCCCCTCCCCTTCTTTTCTCTCTCTCATCAATAAAACCATATTTTAAAAATACAACAACAAAGAAAAGCATGCGGAAGATAAGGAAAGAATAACTTCACTCAATAAGGCTGATGAGAAGTGAAAGTCATGATAACAGGATTAAATGGTTTCTTAAGGTTATTTAACCCACTGTTGCCATTAACATTTAATATCACAGTAGATCTATTTTCCTTCTTCCTAATGGTCTCTATTTAAATGACTGAGCACAGCTGTCTCTTCTTTTCCAACAATAATTAGCACTGACTACCTTTGCAGAAGAGGGTGAAAAAGTATGAATAGGTGTATAGATACAGTTATATGTCCTTTGAACTAATGTGTAGTTTGAACTTATCCTTTACTTATAATTGTTGTTAGACATGCAAAAGATAAGCAATCAAATTATCTACTTTGAGTTTATGTATTCTAATATCTCCTGGTAATCATGCTAACATATAATACATAGTTAAGAGCAAAATTAAATTGTTTCATTTTGGAGTTATAAATAATAATGTATATAAATCCAAGCACAAGTATTGTACTATACTTACTAGAACTATATATCTTAAAGGGCAACATTTAAAAAATATCTAGTATTTCACTTACTACTAAGTTTTAACTTATGTGCTGAAATTTGACTTCTATACACATTTATCTGTTGCTACTATTTTAAAAACTGCTTAAAAATGAAATTTACAGATACTTGGATTACCACTGGGCTGCTGAATACTCATACAATATGTCATGAACTGCTAGACATTTTATGTTTAAAAGGAAAAATGTGGGTAACACTTTATTTTAATGGTATATTAATTAGTTCCAAATTATGATGAAAATCCTATAGCAGTGAATAAAATATGACATCTGCATGAATTTGAAATAAATTTATTATGATCAGTATTATCACAATGAATACTAAATGAATTATTAATGATGAAAGACCAAAAGTATTAATGGGAATGTAATAAAACATCGAGAAAAAGCTGGAAGTTCCTAGACACTTCATCATCAACCAGAAATAAGCACTATAACCCTGGATAACACTATATTCCTGCGCACCATCAGTGGCCACAAATTAACTGACAATAAATAGGAAATGAAAAAATGTGTGGTTAAATATGTTAATATGCAAAAACTATGCATTTTGCATATTAACATACTGTGCTTACTCTGAATTCCATGTATTAGCTACTGAATAAATACTAGCTTAAAAACCCAATCGTTTTTCCTTCTCATTATCATATACCTTGTAACTATTTTAGATGCCAGGAATAAAATTCCAATATTAGCTGTCCTCTATTATAAGATATATTGATGTGTAAAATTACTAGTTTTTGAATATCATTTCACTCTTAGGTCTCAAGGATGTCAACCTCCTTAGAGGCAGACACTATGCCTAATCTATACTTTGTGCTGTGATGATCGCCCACGTGCCCAGTAAACCCTCTCCTATTAATTAATATACCGATACTAATTATCCCAAATAGTTTAGATACTGTCCACTTACGGAGACAAACGAGTCACAGAACAGAGTTCAATGATGTTTTTGAAATAATGGAGGCACAAATTCCCAGGTATGGGGGACACACTAGCTCACCCAGATAGGGGAGCCCAGGTGACCTCCATCAGGTTATTAAAGCTCTTTTCATCCAACTGAGGAGTGACGGTGTAAAAAAAACCACCAACACTCCATTTTACAATTTTATTTACGCCGGGCTTTTACTTAAATCATCTCAAGCTGATATCTAGGCCCCCCTCCACTCCCTAAGGATAATCCCCTGTATGGTAATATACTTTTAAACTTGTGATTATGTTCGCAGCCAACAAATGAAGGGCAGGCTTCTACTTCTTGAATGAGAAAACGTGTTGTTAGGAAACCTCTGCTGAAAAACAGCTAAAGTCCAAGCCAGCGCTGAGCGGTCCCCGTGGATGGCTTACCTGTTTCTAAAGTAGTACTGATGTCCTAAGAGCGCGGACCGCGCCTGCAGCCGGGCTAGCGAGGCCATCGCCTCTGGCGTCGGCTCTCCTACTGATGTTGCTACCGGTCTCCAAGGCAACCGGGTCAAACCATCAGGCAGATCCCGGGGGGTCCCACTTTGGTTTCCTCCGTTTTTCCCCACCCTATGTGTTTCTAAAATATTAGAAAAAAAAACAGTATATTTTGAGTAGAATAAAAATTTACTTTCGTTGCCTCTGTGAGTAAAAGCAGGCGATTCCAGGTGAGGCAGACAGCGTGGTGATGGGGGGGAGAGGACGAGTGGTTGCTCCCGACTTCCGGTTTCCGCCTCCATCGGGTTCCCGGAAGCTCCGCTCAAAATGCTGAACCGCTCGGCGCCAGTCGCTGGGGTTGCGCCGATTGGAGTCAGATCTCGGGCCTGAGCCTCGAGGCCAGGCTCCTGGGTGTCGTTAATGTTCGGGGCCGCCGGGCGCCCACCGATCGGAGCTCCAGCCGCCGGGAACCGCTGGTGAGGCTGGCGGCCCTGGGGAGGAGACACAGGACGGGGGTGCCGGCCCGAGGCCGCCGTACCTGGCGTGGCAGGGGGCGGGATCGGGGGCGGGTGGGCCACAGGCAGGGATGCACGCGGTCCGCTGGGGGTGTACTGGAGCTCGGGGAGGGCATTCGGCAGACTCTGGCTGGTGGCTCGCCTGACACGCTGCGGCATTTTAGGAGCCAAGCTTTCCGTACCCCTGGGCAGGTCACTTCCCAGTGATGGTTGACACGCTTAGGGACCGGAAGCATGGGTCTGAGCCAGGCCCAACGCCCGCATCTACCTTTTAAAATGGACTAGGTCACAGCAGATCACATTCCAGGGATCTAGAGTTCTGGAAGTTTGGTAGAGGAAGCGACCCCACCCACCCAGCGCCCCGCCCCCTCCCCCCCTTTTTTTGGAGTGGGAGTAACCTGTTTCTGTCCCTTGAACATTCTATTCCAGTTCAAATGAGATAGATACGGAGTTCCCTAAGGACATGTACTTGCCAGGGTGAAGTCTGGGGCTTGACTACCGCTACAGTGTCTTGTCAACCCATGTCACTTACAGCGGTTCTCAACCTGTGGGTCGCGACCCCTTTGGCGGTCGAAGGACCCTTTCACAGGGGTCGCTTAAGACCATCCTGCCTATCAGATATTTACATGACGATTCATCACAGTAGCAACATGACAGTGATGAAGTAGCAACGAAAATAATGTTATGGTTGGGTCACAACATGAGGAGCTGTATGTAAAGAGCCAGAAGGTTGAGAACCACTGCATGATATATTGCTTGGACTCTTCCAAGTGCTCCCACTGTGTCCTTAGGACAGCCCTGTGGTAGAAGGTTATTACTGGCACAGGATCCTGGAGTGACCTGTCCAACATCGCCCTGCACTTTCCAGTCCTAGAGCTGGGGGCTGGGGGCCGGATTTCTAGTTGAAAACGCCAATGCCTGTCCTGTTTCCTCCCGCGATCTTTTCCTCCGAGCGTACTCAAGGCAAGCAGTGAAACAAACAAGCAGATTTCCCACGGACAATGAATTCTCAAACAGCCAGTGTGGAACAACAGGTGAAATGTGGCTAAAAAAAAAAAAAATGTATGTCCATTCCTAGATTAGGCAACAATTGAGAACACAGGGAATCCCAGTAATTTCTCATCTGAAAAGTTAGAAGAATATCTTGTTTAGAAAGTGAATCAGATCATCCTGTAGTTCATTTTATAATGAATTATAGATTGTTTATGCTCCTTGTAAATTCTCACATTTCCCATTCAGAAAAGCAGGGAGCACATTTTATTTTAATTTTTTTACAATGGTGATGTGATTTAGCTTAGCGTAAGACATATATTTCTTATGTGTTTAGTATTTTTTGTTTTGGCAGTGGATATACTGTGCAACCACCACACCCCACAAAATATAAGACACTTCCATCACCCAGAATAACATCTCCAGGGTAGCTTTCTTAATGTTTCACTATTCAAGCTCTGTGTTAAGGAAGGGAGACAAAATGTGCTGTGTAGACTGGTCTGCTCTTGCTGTGTTGACATTGACTTGTGAGACAGGTGACTATTTAATTTAAAAATATGACTCTTTCAACTCCATCCTCTCCCACCTTCTACCTAAACCCTGGTTAGGCACCTCTTTATAATACAGTTCTCTTTGAAAGAGCCTACCCTATTTTCATCTGGCAGCATACGACTCACCCTTATGACGCCAGAGTATCAAATAATGCCTAGCACTTAATGTTTTTGAAGGAAATTCTTAAAATCATGCTTGATTTGGCAGAATGTATGTGTTCCAGACAACTGGAACCTTTATTTTCTAGTTTATCTGCGCAGCCATCCTGTCATTCATCATTTCTTACTGGACTTTTTTTTTTATTCATTGATGGGACATTTACTATACTATGCATGTAAGTTTCATGCCAGTGGCGATATCCCAGTGCCCATGAGGATGGTACTACCAAGTTGTTACTTGTTGGGAGGTTTTACATACATATCATATCATCTTATGTAAAATCTTTTGAGAGTTTATTTTTATTATTGCATTTTATAGATGGTGAGAGGGGCAAATATAATTTAAGTAACGTGCCCAAGTGTCATATTTGCAGTATGATTCCAGTATATTTACAAAAATTCTTAAACAATCCACATATACTGCCTATGTAATGTACAATATCTTAAGGAATAATGTACAATATCTTAAGGAATATGTGAACTGGAAAGAATATGCCTGGATTTGTTAACCACCTGGAATTCCTGATGTATTTAACTCTCATATTGACTACTGCTTTTAGGCACCAATTGGGTAATTTATCTCTTTGTTAATTTAATTTGCAAAGTAGAATAACTATATTTTATAGTCAGGAAGCCTAAAGAAGAAAAGTTTTATACAATTAAATAATAAAGATCCTGTGACTTTTTATGTGTTGGGAAAGGAATATATACGTTTTGTTCAAGTTAATCTTATAAGTGATTCCTATTATGTTTTTATAAAAAAAGTTATAAGAGCTTGAGTGTCTACTACTTCCTGCCTCACCACTCACATACATTTTTGAAATTAGGATCCAAAATATATCTAAATTGGTTAATCTAATGTTAACTTTTTAAAAGTTGATTCATTTGGTAGACAAATAACATTTAGTATTAAGATACACTTTTCTTTATTTTTACATTATTAATCATTTATAATTAAAGTCAATTTCTGGGGTTTTGGAGGAAGTATATTTAAAGATTGAACTAAACAAATTTTAAAATTAAGTCCTTGATAATTAGCATATTGAACAATACTATCTAACGATGTGGCTTTGCTTTTAAAAAACATTAAAGTAAACTATTGATTCAGTACCTTTGTTTCTGCAGTTTCATTCCTATTTGGTATTTTTATTATATATATATTTTTATGTCTGCAAAACTGCATAGTGAAAAATGTTCATTTTTTAAATAACGACTCTTTTTTATTGTCTTTAATTTCATGTTGTCAGGTTTGTTTGAGTCAAGTTTCTATTTCAGCAATTAAAAATCAAAGCAATGGCCGGTATGATTTTGGGCATATGACTCATTGATCTTGCTATAGCTTCTTAGCATCCATATTTATGGAAACCTTTAAACCACCTTCAATAGTATGCCCTTACCTGACACACTTATTAACTAACCACTTAGAGCAGTGGTTGGCAATCTGCAGCTCTCGAGCCACATGTGGCTCTTTGGCCCCTTGAGTGTGGCTCTTCCACAAAATACCACGTGTGGGCACGCACGTACAGTGCGAAGTTGACTTAAAACTTTAAGTAAAGTTTATTAAGTTAATTTTAGGGAACGTTGTGGAGTGAAAGAAGATGTAGTGTCGAGGATTGAGAAAGGCATGTTGAGATGGTTTGGACATACAGAGAGGATGAACGAAAGGAGACAGACGAAACAAGTATACAAGATGAGTGTGGATGGGAGAGTTGGAAGGGGTCGACCTCAGCAAACATACCTCAATCAGATTGAGGACGTTTTTAGCAAAGGCCAGCTTAGGAGTGCCCTAATTAAGTTAATAACAACGTACCTACCTATATAGTTTAAGTTTAAAAAATTTGGCTCTCAAAAGGAATTTCAGTCGTTTGTACGTTGATATTTGGCTCTGTTGACTAATGAGTTTGCCGACCACTGACTTAGAGTGTCTCGTTAATGTGGCAGAAGTTTTGAAACCTGGGTTGCTAAATTTGTAGTCAAGTCATATTTTTCCTTGGCTGTTTGTTCCTTTATTTGGTCATTCATTAGTTTGCTCACCCAACAGTTTTTGTTTTTTTCACGTCTATGATTTGTCAAGCAGCCGTGGTTTGTCAAGCGTTGTGTATGCGCTGCCTCATAGGTGGATCACAAGATGTTTGTTTTTAGGTTCTCATTAAAATGAAAAGACAAAGTTGAAAGTTTTATCGGGAACTTGCGAGTGTCTGAAATTATGAACTACAGAGAGTCTATAAAGCTGGAGTCAGCAAACCATGGCCTGCCATCACCTGGTTTGTAACTAAATTTAATTAGAGCACAGCCACACCCATTCGCTCACGTATGGCCTGAGTATTTCCCCCCTTATGATGGTGAAGGCTGATAGTTTTGACAGAAACACACTCACCTGCAGGGCCTAAAAGGTTTACCATCAGGCCCTTTATGGAAAAGTGTGCCTACCCCTCCCTGCTATAGACGGTAGAAATTGTGCAATCTACAATTAGAATATGTTGATTCCCTAAGTACTTCTAGAACACTTCCATCTTATATTCTCTTCTGTGGACCTTTCTTAAAATGTTTCACTCTGCAATATCTTGTTAAGGAAGGGAGACAAAATGTGCTGGGTGTACTGATGTGCTCTTGCTATGTTCATACTAACTTGTGGGACCGGGGACTATTTAATTTTAAAATGTGACTCTTTCAAACTCCTTTTTTCCTCTACCACCTTCTACCTAAATCCTGGTTAGGCACCTCATTGATCTTGCTATAGCGTCTTAGCATCCATATGCATGGAAACCTTTAAACCACCTTCAATAGTATGCCCTTACCTGACACATTCACTTAACTAAATCCTGAGTATCTTGTTAATGTGATTGTTCATGATCTTCATATTTGAATTACCTGTCATGTTTAAGAAATAAAATCAGAGTCCTGGGCCCTCTGTCACATTGGCTGATCTAGAATCTTCCAGAGTTGGTTCCAGAAGGACCAGTGTAATTTCTAAACATTCCCAAAGAACACAGATGTCTATCCTTGCCGGCTTGTGGATCATTTCCTCACTGATGACACAGTTCAACGGTTTCTGTTTATTTTTATTAAAATAATAATTTAAAAAGGCCAAGAGACTTTCAGATGAATGCTAAGGAAAATGGGCCATTTTAGAACAGCGAGGCTCCCGTTGAATTTGAACCTAGTTTCTGTGTCCCTGGGTTCTGAGATTTGTGCGGTGTGAAGATATGCCTCGTGTCTGATTAAACTCTTTTCACAGAGTATTCCATCTTGGGAGTTTGCCAAGATGGTATTACAAACCTTAAAGGCCCGCCAGTCTCTCCGCCTCCCTGGCCAGTCCTGGCGGGGACTGCAGGGTGTGTGGGGAGCAGAGGCCTGTGTGGGGTGGGGGCTGAGAAAGTTCTCTCTGTTTCCATCCCGGAAAGCTGGCCCTAGGCAAGGCCAGGCGGAGACTAAAGCTCAGCTTCCGAGGCAGAAGTAACTTCTCCATAGTCACCCAGGAAAGACATAAAATTCCTGAGACCTTTCATTGCTAATAGGCTCACTCTGTCTTGACCTAACTCCTGTGTTTAATCAAAGAACTTCTACAAGAAAAAGGAGCTTAACACGAGTCAGTATATCTAAAGCTCTCATCCTTGGAGAGGAACATTCAATCGCTTTTAAACATTCCTTTGTCATACTATTAATTATGGTCGGATGTAGACCGAGCCGTCAGCGGTCACACGCCAGGTTAACAGGGCTCATGCTGACTGTTTCGTTGATCCCCTTTTCTTTCTTGAACAACCCAGGCATTTCAGCCGGACGATGGAAGAACTGGTGCACGACCTGGTGTCGGCCCTGGAGGAGAGCTCGGAGCAGGCCCGCGGCGGCTTTGCGGAGACGGGGGACCACGCGCGGAGCCTGTCCTGCCCCCTGAAACGCCAGGCCCGGAAAAGGAGAGGGAGGAAGCGCAGGTCCTACAACGCCCATCACCCCTGGGAGGCCGGCCACGGCCTGAGCGAGGGCTCCGACTCCAGCTTGGAGGAGCCGAGCAAGGACTACAGGGAGAACCCCGCCAGCCATAAGCAAGATCACAGCGACTCCGACGACCAGATGCTGGTGGCCAAGCGCAGGCCGGCGTCCACGCTGAACAGCAGCGTGCGGGGCAAGCGGCCGCTGTGGCACGAGGCGGACTTGGCCTTGGACGGCCTGGGGAGCCGCAGCCTGCGGCGCCGGAGGAAGGTGAAGCGCATGGCCCTGGACCTGCCGCAGGACGCGTGCAAGCGCCCCATGACCCAGCCCCCCGACGGCTGCAGGGACCAGGACATGGACCAGGACCGGGCGTACCAGTACCCGGAGTTTGCCAAAAGCAAAGTCAAGAAGCGGAAACTGAGGGTCCCCAGGCAGGGACCCAAAACCCAAGACGAAGGCGTGGTTTTAGACAGCGAGGAGCTGAGCCAGACCAAGGACAAGATGGAATACGAAGAGCAGAAGGTGTCCGACGAGCTCATGAGTGAAAGGTGGCTTTCCTGTTTGCTACATAGAAGGGCGGGTGGGTACGGTGTTGTGGTTGGATGTGTTTTGTATTTTAATTAATTCTCTTTTTTTAGAATAATGATAATTTATAATAATGGTAGTGACATTCCTGTTGAACCATGGTCATAGTTGCTTATAATTTATGATGTTCAGCCCAAAGCAGAATTGCTTCTTTGATTTTACACGGCCTTTTGATTGTGTCATAATGACTTAATTTTCAGCTACAAAGAGAAAAGGGAATAGATTTTCAATGGGAAAGGATGTACATTTGGATAATAGCACATTGGTAATTCTTAGGATTGGGTTTAAAATTATTTAATTATAGAGTTTTAGTATTGGTTCTCTTTAGTTTCACAAATTATCAGTTTATTTTTTTAAGATTTTTTTTGCTGCTTTTTTGTTTGTTTGTTTTTTGGTTTTTTGTTTGTTTGTTTGAGAGAGAGAGAGAGGGAGAGGAAGAGAGTGAAATATCAATAGGCTGCCTCCTGCCTGCACACCCCCTACTGGGAAGCCAGCCCAAAGCCAGGGCATGTGTCCTGACTGGGAATCAAACCGGTGGCCTTTCAGTGCACAGGACGACGCCCAACCACCTGAGCCGCACTGGCCAGGGCTTTCAGTTTATTCTGATTACTGAGAATCAAGAGTTAATAGCACTTCAACCCGTGTGGCTTGGAATTTGAAGTCTAACTTGCTAGGAATTCTGACCACTTGTGAATTGTAAAGCCCACCTCACTGTCTGGAACCCCTGAACTTGTCATTGGACAAAGGAGAAAAGCAGTGATCCTCTGAGGGTTAGTCTAACCCAAGCATGTCAAACCCCAAGGCTAACATGGGCCAAATAAAGAAGGCACGTGGCCTGTGGACTGCGAGTTTGACATGCTTGGTCTAAACCAGTGGTCGGCAAACTGCAGCTGGCAAGCCACATGCGGCTCTTTGGCCGCTTGAGTGTGGCTCTTCCACAAAATACTGACTTCTGCGCATGGGCCAGGAAGTTTCAATCGCACTGTATGTGCGCGCCTGCAGGTGGTATTTTGTGGAAGAGCCACATGGAAGGGTCCAAAGAGCCGCATGTGGCTCGCGAGCCGCAGTTTGCCGACCACTGGTCTAAACCATCCGTTCTGGAAAGCAGGTAAAGCACAGTGATAAGTCTTGTTTTAACAGCATCCAAAGGTAAGTGGTCGTTTTTCTGTGACACAGAACTAATGCTACTTGCAGGAAATGAGAAAGTATTGACACTGTTCACCCTTTCAGTTGTGTCCTTAAAACCAAATGCGGGATTGTGATGCAGAAAAAACATTCCTTACAAGTAGTCTGGGCAAGAGTATTTGATTTTTTAATTTGTAGGACTAGCATTTTTATCATGTGGATTGTGAGCTATGGAATATATATTAGTACTGTATTAGCATGTATATAATATATATTTGTCTGTAAATATGATTATGATTGCAGATATGAGTAGGACCTGGTAAAACTTTATAGAATGGGCCTTTTATTACAGATGGTTTGCCATGTATGCAGTTTTTCTAAAGAAGTAAAAATTACTTTAAAAAATGTTTCAGGAAGGCTTTGAGAAATTTACAGCATCTGCTTTTCTTCCAAGAAAGTTGTCACTTTTATACCAGAGCGAGAATTATTTGTATGCTTTGTATGTCAGCATTGGGCCACTGTGACTGGGGGGCACTTAGCTTGGCTTGAGAGTAATTATCTTGCTCACTGGCTGGGAGGGAGGGTGTGTGACAAAGGAGATAAATACTCGGTTCTGGATTATTCATAGATTGCTGGCTTTCTGGATTGATTGTGCAAGCCCTCCTTTTATTGATGTCCACCTTCTATTGACAGACATCTACCCTGGGAGAGAAATGAGATGAAACTCTTTTTCTTTTCATTATAAAAAGCATGTGAGTTCCTAAGGTGTGATAAGGCCACCCAGCCATCCACAGTCAAGGTACACATTTTCATGGAGGATGTTCCCACTCTTGAATAAATTAAAACAATTTTTTTCTTTTAATTTAAACTTTCTTCTATAACTGTTTTCTTGTTACTTAAAAGCTAGTTTTTTCTGAAACTACTTCCAAAGCTTTTCAAGCTGTATATGTCCTTGGAATTAATTTATAAATAAGAATTGAGCGCAGCCTGTGTGACTCAGTGGTTTAGCATCGACCCATGAACCAGGAGGTCACACACAGTTTGATTCCAGGTCAGGGCACAGGTCCGGGGTTGCCGGTTTGGTCCCCAGTAGGGGGCGTGTAGGAGGCAGCCGATCAATGATTCTCTCTCATCACTGATGTTTCTATCTCTCTCCCTCTCCCTTCCTCTCTGAATCAGTAAGAATATATTTTAAAGAGAGAGAGAGAGAGAGAGAGAGAGAGAAGAGTATATATGTTTGTAAATAAGAAAACATGCATTTGATGCTCTTAGAAAGTCTTATTTTCTTTCATTAAAACTTGTGCAGTACAGGGAACTCCATAGATTCTCTTAATTTGAAGAAAGTTAGAAGGAAAGGTACTAATTCAGAGTTCCTTGGGCAAATGTGTCACTTATATATTTTTTATGTTTATTTTTTTAAATCAAAAACTGAAATATTTTCTATTCAGAAAATATATTTGGATCTAAATATATCTATAATTTTAACCCTAAAATATGAATTTATTTTAAAACTGGTTGGGATGTTTCTTTTTTTAAGTAAGTTAGGTTACTGGAGTTCTACATGTTACTGGATCAGCTGGGGTAATTTTCTGATTGGAAAATTAAGAATTATAGTCAGAGGGGAGAACATGAGAGTTTTTAAAGAACATATTCAATTTACTTTAGAAGCCGAACCTCTCTTATCATGTGACTTGTTTTGTATGTCTGTTAAACTATAGTATCACATAAGCATTGCTGCTATTGGGACAAACAGTGACAGTTGATTCGGGTCATTTGAATGTCCACTGTCTGTTGTAATTTGTATGTTCGTTTTGACTCTGTCATATGCTCAAACTTCAGTGGAAGTCATGAGCACCTGTTATTTTTGCCTGCTCCCTCCTTTATGTTGGAAATACTCCTTTTTGCTCAGTGTTTGCTCAGAGGGACCTTAACGTTGATATAAGGGATTGTTTCCGTTGTCAATTTTTTTCTTCCTTGCCAAGTAAGAGAGTGGTTGTGAACTCTTCAGTGATGCCTTCTCAGGCTATTTGCAGATGTGGTTGCGAAAAGTCATTTCAGCCCCGGCCCTTGCATGTCAGGTGCTGGGGAGAGGCTCGGGCTGCCTTTGACTGAGACTTGTGCGTTCTGTTGAGCACTGGTGTTCTGGCTCAGGCCGAATCACATGGCGTGAGAAGGCAGTGGTGAGCATTTGATGAAAGCAGATAATAAAACACATCCATTATGTCAGCACCTCGTTGCAGTCACATCTGGCTTACTGACAGGGTCCCATTAGATTCCTGGGGTTTTATGTGCCAAAAATATATGCCCTGTTGTGAATGGAACCAGGATAGTTGCAGTTGGAGATTTTAAAAAACCATCTTGTTTCCTTTCAGATCTTTGTCAGGCTCCATCCAGTTCCACCCCTGAGCTGCCTCGTCTCTTTAAAATGTTACAACGGGGAGATCAATTGTCCTTTTGATCTTTTTTTTTTCTCTCTTCCCTCCTTGCAGCGATTCCAGCAGCCTCAGCAGCACGGATGCTGGCTTGTTTACCAACGATGAGGGAAGGCAAGGTACTGAAATGTCATTTTTTCTCTCGGGGGGGGGGGGGGGGGGAGACACGTCTTCATTGTAAAGTTTCACTTCTTACTAGTCATTTCTTAAGTTGAGGACTGCAATCCTTTTACCTTACACACGCTACTGAGTGGAGTGGGGTTGTTCTCTGGCGTTCGAGGAGAGCATCCTGTCTTCATGACCTGAAGTAATTGATTATCCCCCAAAGCGAGGATGTGGAGCTAATGGTATGACGGGAGGATTTTCTTCCTTGAGAAGGCCTACAGTCTTTCCGTTGTGTCTCTTGTAGCAAGTTCACAAGACACTGGTCCCCACTCTCCTCCTGATTCAAATGTATTTCGGTCTGTTTAAGCATTTCTGAGGTTGGATGTGCAAGTCATCTGTCATTTTTATTCAGCTGTGACATTTAGGTGTCCTGTCTAGTTTGTGATTAGACAATTTTCATAAGCTCAATATTGTAACCTGTTCAACAGTAATGTTTCACCACTTAGATGGTTTTTATTTTTGAAACTTCCTGGAGATATTCCTACTTTAGCACAGCCTTATTGTGAAACTACCTGTTCTGGAAGGAAAATATCAGCAGGTGTACATGCAAATACTTAATCAGGAATGTTTCATTTCCTGAGAGTCTTTAGAGGACATTAGTAAGTTCCAAGGAAAACAAGGAAATTTATTGCTTTAAATTATTATTACATAATCATGGTTTGCTTACTTATGAACCATTAGTCCTGGATAAATAGATATATAACTGTTTTAAAAACCATAGACTTTTTAAACTTGAGATTCTGCTGAAATATGGTAGGACCTTGGGACTAAGATATACCTAAATTATTATTAAAATACATGTTTCCCCAAAGTTATATTACAAATGTTGACTTTGGTAATGAAATTAAATTAAAAACTTTTTAAAGTAACATTTTGATAAGCCTACCAATCTTTGAAAAACATTGAGTGGCTTAGAATACTATGCTAGTATTTATTGTCTTTTTATACATCTCTCTATTGTTCTTAAAACACACACACACACAAAATACTGTTGATTCACACCTTTGGCACATTTCAAATTGAATTTTACATTGATCCATCATTATCTTCTTGGATGTTCTCGAATATACTGTGAATAGTGTTGTGTTTTAAAAATACATCGCTGTAGTCATTTGTAGTTTTATTGTAAACTCTGTGGCATTGTCACTTTTCATTTAAAATCAACTTTTTCACAACCATTTCTTAATGAACTTAATTAGATTAATTTCACTTAGTCACATCTGTTCATGATTGTTTCCCCCTTTTACACTCCATAGAAATCATGAAATTAAGCTAATATATACCATTATCTGCTGCAAAGAACAAACTCTGTAGTCTTACATCTTTTCATTCCCAGCAGGCGATTAAGGCTTGTTTTTCCCTAACGTGGGGAGGGTAGTCACTGCCTTGGATTTCCCTACAGTTTTGCCAAACGATTAGCTTTTCACATTGGTTCTAACACATAACATTTTATCTTTTTGTTAATGGAAATTCTTGTTATAGTGTTAAAGACATTTTTTAAGTAGGGCTGTGGGTAGAATGAAAAGTTTTTTATGGACTATTTATATGCTTGCCAGATGAAATACAGGATCTCCGGTTAAATTTGAATTTTAGATAAATAATAAATTATTTTTTTAAATAAGTGTGTCCCATGCAGTATTTTGACTAAAAATTCTGTAGAAGTACTATATTCAGGGTGGGCAAAAGTAGGTTTACAGTTTATGTAGAAAATAATACACTAATTAATAAATAATAATACAAGAATAAACTGTTTCTGTGTACTCACAACTATAACACTACTTTTGCCACACCGTGTATTTATATTAAAAAGTAATTGTTGTCTGGCCGGCATGGCTCAGTGGTTGAGTGTCGACCTATGAGCCAGGAGGTCAGGGTTCAGGGTTGAATTCCCAGTCAGGGCACATGTCCAGGCTGCAGGATCGATCCCAGTAGCGGAGGTACAGGAGGCAGCCGATCAATGATTCTCTCTCATCATTTATGTTTCTCTCTCTCTCTCTCTCACTAACTCTCTGAAATCAATAAAAGAAAACACACACATATTTTAAAAAAGTAACCATTTATCTGAAATTCACATTTAATTGATGTCTTGTGCTTTTGAAACATTAACCTGACCCTGTGCCTGTTGGGGTGACACAGCTGAGTCTTGGGGGCGTTTCTCGTGTTTGCACAGGGGACGACGAGCAGAGTGACTGGTTTTACGAAAAGGACTCGGGCGGAGCGTGTGGCATCACGGGGGTCATTCCCTGGTGGGAGAAGGAAGATCCCAGCGAGCTGGACAGACACTTGCCAGACCCCGTCTTTGAAAGTATCCTAACGGGTTCCTTCCCCCTCATGTCGCATCCCGCGAGAAGAGGTCAGTAGCATGTCGCATCCGGCGGGCTTGGTCAGTCTAGGGATAGTCGTTGAGGGAGGACAGGCTGAAATGGGCATGAAAGAACCTCAAGCTACACTTTCATGCTTTCAGACTGGTAGAAAGGCCCATCGTGAACACACTGGGATGACAGAAAGGGAATCGAGAAGAAACAAATGTAAATAGTCGATAGTTGTGTGCTGACCACACTGGAACCCGACCCGCCATTCGTTCAGATCTTTTAAGTATGAGTTTTGCCTTTTCCCCTGCTACCATTCGAGATGTTTTCCCTCCTCTAACTCTTTTACTTCTGTAATTGACAGGATCTTGTCCTATGCTCCCGTGATCATAGGATCCCCTAAATCGGGTCTTTGATTTTCCAGGTTTCCAAGCTAGACTCAGTCGCCTCCGTGGAATGCCTTCCAAGAATATTAAAAAGTCTGGAGGGACCCCACCTTCAATGGTAGGCATGCCTTTCTGTCTGAGTTTTGTTATGTTTGGAAACGTATCCATTTCTGTGGAATAAAAAGCCACATCCTCATCCCCTATTCGTATTCCAATGTTATACTTAAAAACAATCCATTTTTTTGTAGGCTCCAAACTGGACCAGTGAGATTCCCCTATAAACCAAATCTGCTCATGCTCATAAATTAGTTACGTTTTGAGCATCTGGGGAATGGCACTCGAGGGACCCTGGCTCCTGTCCTCTCCCCTGGAGGAGTACCAGTGAGTGGGAGCCTCCCTGATGGAAAGAGGGGCCTGTTTGCTGGAGGCCTGGGATCTTCCTTTAGTCAGAAGCGAACCTGGCTGGGCGGCTTTCTAGGGACCTAGGTGGGCCCGGGGTGGGTAGAAACTACTGTACATTTTATATCTTTTTCTCTTTTATGACTTTTAAAATATTGAAACCATTTATGTATCTATCACCTGTTTTGCTAAACTGCTGACAAAAGCTAGAGAATTTAAAATGTCCGGATGTCACATAAGTATTCCTCAATGTTTATATCGTGACCGGTGAAGAGCTCGTTTCTACATTATCTGACTGTTGTAAATAAAAAATGGCGACACATTCACATTTAAGGCTCGTTTTTAGAGAAATCTTCTATAACCAGCATTGTTTAAAGTATTTGCCTTTTACTCAGGGTATTTTAACAAGGGCTAGAATGAGTAGTAGGTGAGGTTGCTTGTTTTTGCCAGTTTGTATTTTGTTTTAAGTTTGCTGCCTACGTGGATAATGTGCTCTGTATGGAAAACGCATTGTATTTTATACTATGGTATTCATTGTACTGCCAGCATCATCCCAGTGTTAAACCAGCCGCTGTGATAACTAGTGTGTGCTAGAATTATTTACTATTACCTTTTAAACTGTGCGCTTTGCCCAATACTTGAAAGCAATCCCAGTGATCCTTTCCGCTTAGAGCATATTGAAATCATGTGAAAGCTGATATTTCAGCAAATGCTGTACGACTCTGAATCATGTTGTCACGTTCAAAAGTGAGAGCCGCGTGCATGCCCTTAGAATGACAGACCGCATGTGTCACTGCGTCAGAAGTACTTGCATGAGCTCGCTGTCACCGTGCAGAGGGCAATGTCATAGCTCTGCCGATGGTGGAATTTAGAACATTATACAAAATGTTCGGGACATTGCGTTTTTCTGAACGGTTATTAGTAAAATGATGACTATTTTTGTTACATTCCAATAATTGATGAAAACTGTGATTTAATACATGTATTTTTATATTACTGTGTGGATTGTTAATTCCGCATTTAATGGCTAACTTCAATATGAGGATGGAAAAGAGACTGAAAGTGGGCATCTCCTTTACCCAGAGTTGTTACAATCTGAAACGTGTGGCATCTTTTAGATTATTTGTCTAAACTGGGGAGATCGCAAGCGATCAAGTGCACTTGCGTCTCTTTACCTTCGCATATTTAATGTGATGTTTTAGAGCAGTGGTTCTCAACCTTGACTGCACATTAGAATAACCTGGGAATCCTTTTAAAATCCTGATTTTTGGGCCTCATCCTCCGGAAATTCTGTTTCTTTGTTACTCATGTTGTGGCCCCACCCCATAACAAAGAAACAGAATTTCCGGAGGATGGGGCCCAGAAATCAGTATTTTAAAAAGATTCCCAGGTGATTGTAATGTGCAGCCAAGGTTGAGAACCACTATTTTAGAGGGACAATGTTGTGTTTCATAATTGTAAGTAAGCTTTCTGTGCTATGTCCTGTGCCCTGAGAATTTACGATCCTCCCCCCCCCCCCCCCCCCCCCGAATTACATAAATGCTTTTATTTTGTATAATGACTGTCTTTTGGATCTGAACACGCCACTTTAAAACCTTGGCCTGTGAACTCTGCCTTCCCAGTCATGAATTGGGATGAATGCTCTCCAGTTCTTGGTTCAGTTTTACCTATTTTTATTTTTGCTTCACTGCCTGCCCGAGCATCGCTGGGATTTGTAGCCCATTTTCTAGGCTTATTGCAGTCTCACTGTGGTATTTTATAGAAGCTATTACAAGTGATAGGCTAGCTTCATGGTATTGATGATACATGGCTTAGCCATAGTAAGAGCCGCCTCTCCTCTCTAAATTGTAAAAAGGTGATTGAGTTTCACTTGATGGAGATGTGCTCTGTGTGTGTGTTTATCATGAAACTAGTGCATTCGGCCATAAACTGTTTCCCGGGTCTCCCTTTTTTGTATTCAGAATTTTACTGAAGACAATGGGCTTTTTCAGGTTTTCATTCTCTCAACCCTGAATTGTCCTTGTGTTTGAATTTTTAAGTACTGTAATCTCTCTCTTTTTTTTTTCAATAAAATATCTGACTTGGGCAAGAAAGGTAAGAGTTCCAATTTGTGCTGCTATGTTAAAATTCCTATGCCGCGTTTTTATTGTCATTGCTCGTACTGTCCATGTTATTCTAAACAATGCAGTTTTCAAAATCATAATCCCACAAAAGAGTCGTGTGTAAACAAACAGTGCCCCCTTAGACTTTCACATTGGAAAGCCGATTGCTTTAAGAGAGATTACTTTTCTGTGCGAAGAGAAACACACCTGGCTGTGACCTGTTATAGAGTGCAGGCAAAGGGTTTCCGTCTCAAGCTGCACAAATCTATTGATGATATTTGAAGGAAATGACAGAAGGAAGAGTTTTTTACTGAAACATTAATGCAAACATTTTGATTGGGATTTTTATTATTCACCATAGTTGTGTTCTGCAAAGTTTCTGCAAACACTGAATTAGCGAATGCTGAACTTGCTCCCAGGGAAACAGGCTTAGGTTCCTGCCAGCCTCTGATCGCGACATTTTCATCAGTCCATGGACACATAATCCTGTCTTCTGTACACTTGTGTTTTAAAGCACCTATGTAATCTACATGGTCCATTCATTAACATGGAACTCACGGCCGACACCCTGTAACTCAGGCCTGAACAAAGTGCACCAACACACGTATCTTCGCCATCAGGCACGTCACAGCCCCACATTCTAGGGACCCTAGACCGCACACAGCTCTGTGCTCGGGGGCATGTAGCACAGTGAGTCACCAACAAGAAGTACAACAGTGCCCTGGCCAGTAGCTAAGTGGTTAGAGCAGCGGTTCTCAACCTGTGGGTTGCGACCCCTTTGGGGGTCGAACCACCCTTTCTCAGGGGTTGCCTAAGACCATCGGAAAACACATATATAATTACATATTGTTTTTGTGATTCATCACTATGCTTTAATTATGTTCAATTTGTAACAATGAAATTGGGGGTCACCACAACACGAGGAACTGTGTTAAAGGGTCGCGGCCTTAGGAAGGTTGAGAACCACTGGGTTAGAGTATTGGACTGTGCATGGAGGGGTCTGGGGTTTGATACCCGGTCAAGGGCACATACCTGGGTTTGCTCCCCGCCCCAGTCAGGGCTCCTGTGGGAGGCAACCAGTCGATGTGTCTAACATCCATGTTTCTCTCACTCCCTGTGTCCCTTCTACTAGTACTCTCTCTTAAAAGCAATGGAAAAAAATATTCTTGGGTTTGGATAAAAAAGAAAAGCACAAAAGTGTGAAAAACATGGCACTAAATAAACCACAAAAAGGCCCTTTGTTTATAGCATCAGAGCTAAAGCAAGAAGACAGCTGCCAAATATTTATATAGTGGGGCCTTGACTTACGAGTTTAATTCGTTCGTGATGGAGCTCGTAATTCAAATTACTCGTATGTCAAGTCAAAAAGTGAACGAGTGAGACACGTGATGCTGGGCTGATGTTGTGGCGTTCACTGTGACGTTCGCTGCGCCAACTAGCGGTGGGGTATCTGAAGCTGGCTCATAACCCGAATTTTAGCTCGCAACTCAAAGCAAAAAATTGGCCGAGAGACGGCTCGTATCTCAAAAAACTCGTTAGTTGGGACACTCGTAAGTCAAGGCCCCACTGTGTACTGTTTTGGTTTTCCCCCTTACATTTAGTCATAATGTATGTTCCGAAATTAACATTATAATATTGTATTAGTCCTCCTGTTTTTGTGGCTACTTCTTGTACAGGGCAACCAGGCTTTCTATTACATTTTTTAAAAATTCATTTTCTTTTTATTTTAATAATGGTTTTTAAAAAAGAGACTTTTAGAGAAAGAGGAAGGGAAAGGAAGAGAGAAAGAGAAATGAAACATGGATGTGAGAGAGAAACACCAATCAGCCGCCTCCAGTGAGCACCCTGATCGGGGATCGCACCTGCAACCTGGGCATGCGCCCCAACTGGGAATCGAACCAGTGACCTTTCTGTGCAAGAGACTAAGCTCAACCAGCTGAGCCACACTGGTCAGGACTTTATTACATTTTTTAAAATGCATGAAATGCCATGTTTTCTTCCTTTTATTTTTTTTTTCACTTTAGTATTTGCATGCAAATTCTTAGGTTATTAGTAAAGAAATGGCTTGTTTTAAGATATTTTTTTCTTTTCTAAGTAATAATTTATGGACTTTTTAATGAATCTCTTTAAAAACATTGAATTTGCAAACATTTGAGGTTTTTAAAAAAATATCTCTAATAAAGATTATGCTTATCATTTAAAAACATTTTGCATCCTGCCCTAACCGGTTTGGCTCAGTGGATAGAGCATCGGCCTGCAGACTGAAGGGTCCCAGGTTCGATTCCGGTCAAGGGCATGTACCTTGGTTGCGGGTACATCCCCAGTTAGGGGGTGTGCAGGAGGCAGCTGGTCGATGTTTCTCTCTCATCGATGTTTCTAACTCTCTATCCCTCTCCCTTCCTCTCTGTAAAAAATCAATAAAATATATTTAAAAAAAACCATTTTGCATCCTAAGAAACCTCTGAAATATGTTCTAAAATGCTGTTTTTATTAAGACTGCTTATGGTTACCATTTGACTCCACCGATGGATACTGAAGATCCCTTTTCCTTTTTGTGTCTTAAAAGGGTGGTGACATCACTAGGGGCCCCATTCTTTTTCTTTTCTTCTTTTTTCTC